GCTAAAGCGCTCGTGCATGAAAAACCAGTTTCTTAAGATACGAAGTTTCACTGAGAATACCGAAGTAAAAACGTAAAGAAATAAATTTTGCCTCTGCTTACTAACTTAACTTATTTTATACTATCATTTCCACAAAAACGGGATTTCTTCAACTTTCATGTGTTAATGCATGTAGCATTGGCTACTATAGTTCATATACTCATATTCTTTTTTTACAAAATATTTTATATTATTAATAAGTATTAAAATAAATGATAAATACTCTTAAATGAGTATTGAGATAAGTACTCTTAAAGAACCATATTCCTTCTCATAGGCCTAATGAGTTCTCCGTATTTTCATTTTGAGAGTATGAAAATTCACGAAACAATGACAACACTGTTTTTAGACCTACGTTTCTCGAATATCTAATTTTGTAACTCTTCGTTAACATGTTCATTTACATTTAATATTCCATTTGGACTACTAGTACATTGATATTGGTTTCAATAAAATTTCAAATAGTCCTCACCTTCACCTTCGATGTGACGCCCATTAATACAAAACTGCCTGGTTTTTCGGTGGACTGCCTCGAAAATGTCTCAAAAGATAAAATCGACAAATATTGTTAAAATTGCAATTTCAGTTATGTAGCGGATCCCTAGAACTGGGGGGGGGGGGGGGAGGGGGTGATGAATGACTGGCATCATACCTTATATTTGTGAGGAAACCTTTTAAATAGCAAAACTGAAAACACTAGTTCTTGGATAAATTGTTATCGGCTACAGGAGAGGTCGATCTTTTCGTATTTGCAGTACAAAGTGTGCATTTGGGAAATGAGAAGTTATTCATCAATTATTTTGATAAATAATTTTTCAATGATAAATTGATCAAACAACAAATTATTAGGGGAAATGCTTTAATTTTACTTACTGACGGTATTATCTTTAATTTTTCCTCTGATAGCAATTATTTTTTTTTATTAGATAGAATGAGTTCAACAGTAATTGTATGCAACGTGAATGAAAATTCTTTGGGTCATTTGCAGCTTTAGCATGCTCAAAACACTTGTTTTACTGGTAAACATTTCAATATTTATCCATTATTTTTACCATTGTTATTATTGTCAAACATTTCAATATTTATCCATTATTTTTACCATTGTTATTATTGTCAGTAAAATCATATGAATTTATCTTACACATTCATTCCCATGTTGCGATATTATGTTCACTCTACTGTATCTTGCGCTTTCCTTGGATGCTTAGTGTCCTTGTGAAATTGCTTTGTGAATGGTAAATTTTGTTTTAGTCGATATGATGCTTCTCATTTATCCTATTTGTGATGACATACATAATCATGCCTCTTAAAATGCGTCGAAATCATACTGGGAATTTTGGATATTCCGTACAGTAGAATGAGATTTCCAGTAGAACAAAATACATCTCAAGACGAACAATCGTTATTCTGGGAATTTTTTTCTGAGTGGATTCGAGCTTGTACATCTTTCTTATGGAAAATCATGCTTAACATATATATTACACATAACTTGAACTTGGATATCTCACACGATCAATAATTATCAATTAGTAATCCAAGTTACTGAGACTTAAAACACCCAATCCTCGCCGTTGGACAGTGCTCAACGTGTTGACTCAAGACCCCTGGCTTGCGAGGATGAAAACACCTGTACGATTGCATAATCCACTAAATAGTTTACAAAATTGATCCATCTCCAATGTTCCATTTTAAAGGAAAATATCTTTTTGGGCAGCAAAATAGTAGGGAATAAGCTGAGGTGCCTCTGGTACCCTCTACAGCTTTATGTTTTAACTATACCTGGTAGAAAAGCAATATACAAGTGAAATGTACATAAATATTTAATTTTTGAAATTGCTAAGACGTTTGCTCATATAAAATATGAGTAAGTTTACTTTTTTAAAAACATAAGCAAGACTCTTTATCCATTCCTTTATGTTTACATTATTATAATCATATTTATTTTATTTTATTATATAAGTTTGCATACAGCATACACTCGAGTAGTGTGGATTCAAGTCATGATTAAAAACCTTCGCAAGAACACCTCAGCCATGTTTAGTCATATGAATGTGGAGCCTCCTCAGACAGTTTAGATTCATTTTTTTTTCAAACTCATTACTACTAATCCCAAGACCATAAACTGAGAAAAGACTTAAGCCATAACAAGCTATTCAAAATCAACTTTTGACTTGAGTCTGTTCTCAGTTATGGTCCTCAGGCCTGGCGGTAGGATGGGGCTACAATAGGGCAAAGGTAAATATAACGGAGAAAAAATCTGATGATGAAGAATAGTATACTTAGGGTCATATTGATTCAGGTGAGCATTGTGGCCCATGACCCTTCGATATACTTCCTTCTACTTCACTGAAACTTTAAACATTTAAACTGTTCGGATGTCAAGCTCCATCTTTTTGTCCCCCCACTAAAAGTAGGTGATGTCAATTTCGGTCCGTCTGTCTGTCTTTAGTTCTGTCTTCTGTAACGCCTCGTTTCCACGCAATATCTCGAGAACCCTTAGAGCATTTGCAATAGAATTTTACACAATATTACTCCCTTTGGCCCAAGGAAGACCCCTATTAATTATGAGGTCAAAAGGTCAAAGATTAAGGTCATAAAGTCAAATATTTGGTCCGTCTTAACACGTTTCCGTGAGATGTCTGAGAAGCGCCTGAGCTTTTGCAATGAGACTTTATACTACAACTCTCTATGGTCTAAGGAAGACCCGTATATATTTTGAGGCCAAAATGTCAAAGTCCTGAAAGGTCAAGGTCGTAAATTCATACATTTCCTGCATGTGTGTGCAAAACTTTGATTTCCGGGCAAAATATCAAGAAGCTGCTGAGTTTTTTCAATTAATGTCATACCATCAATCGATCTTATGCTCCTTCCACCCTTCTTAAAGTGCCCCCTCGACCCCTCCTCCCCCCTCTGGGTCGGCGCGTTTTTGTCTTTTTAGCTTTACTGGTCAGAGATCAGAAAAGCTTATGCGATAGCAAGGTATCCGTCATCCGTCTGTAATCATTTTTTTTTTCAAAAATGCTACTCCTCCTACAGTTTTGGTCCTTATACATTGCCATGGTTACTAAAAATAGAAAGTTCTGTGAAACTCCTATAAAATGTTACCCATCCTAAAGTTTTGGTCTGATTTCAATATAACTCGGCATACAGGGAGCCTACACTAAGAAACACAATTTAGTGCTTCAGTTTTTTATTTCGATGAACGGCGTTGCCATGGTTACTAAAAATAGAATTTTATTTGAAAATTCTTTAAAATGCTACCACTTCTAAAACTTTGGTCTGATTTCAATATAATTTTCCATACAAGTAGACAACATTAAGATACATAATGCTCTTTATTGATGCCTGTTGCAAGTTTCAAATCCAAGTGCTACTTTTCCTCTATTATACGTACAGATATACGTACAGACCAGTAGAGCTACAGTCTCACCAGAGACTTCTGGTTTTCAATGAATAATTTGTTCCCTTACAATTAAAATGACTCAGGTATGATTTATTCAAGGACTGATGTTTGATGTAAAAATGCAGTAGTAAGGGTGCACATGTATAATGACAAGTCATAAAATATTTCAATTGAGTTTATTATCACAGAATTTTTTAAGAATGTTGCAACAAAATATTCACACAAAGTTTTGTACAGCTACAGTAAATAAACCATCCTGGACAAATAAAATTCTTAAGATTTTGTTTCATTCAAAATCTAGAATAGGATTTTTACAATTTAAAAAGAGACTCAATTTTACATGTTTAAGGTACATTGATACTCTGATAAGAGGGATAACTCTTAATGACATAAATGTCTATTATTCCTTTATAAATTTGCCAAGTTAAAGTGTCTTTTTTGTCCAATTTTGCCCCGCAAGCTATGTTATAGTTGTTTGTATTTTACTTATAAAATACATTTCTTTTGGAAAATCACTTAGGTTCAAGCAACATTTTATATGAATGAGCACAGGGTTTATGAACCTTAACAGATTGTATAATGCACTAGATTACTGAATGTTTAACTTTAATTTAGCATTTTTCTAATGTTTATAGCATTCTGGATTACATTGCATCATTCTAATTTGAGCAGAGCAACTGGATTGCGAAATAAACATACATGTATATAATAAAGATAAAAATGAGAAAATTTTAAGCTGAAGAATTTATCTGTTACACTACTCATCATTTGGACAGTAGCAATTTTAATTATGATATAATGATTCTCACATAAAATTTAAATATTTACACATTCAGAAAAATATTAAAGTGTCGTTTACATAATTCACACACCAAATGTCACATGACAAATATTTGTTTTCTAGTTGTCTGTCAGGTAAACTGAAGTCTGAAAGTAATCAACAAATCAAGAAATGTGAACCACTCATTCTTCAATGTGCCACTATAAACAAAGAATACAACCTCCAATGCTCTATGTATGACATGATAACATAATGGCAAAAAAAAGCACCATATTACACAAATCACAGGAAAACAAAAATTTTAAAAATGTCAGAAAAAAATTCAGAGTTTGTATTGTTGAAGAAGCAAATTCATATTAGTAAAATTGCTTTTTTTTTGGCTTACTTTTCTGCTTCAAGCTCAAAATTTTACATTAGTTCAAATGTAAATGAACAAAAATGAAGCAATGGTAAATGTAAATCCTTGTAAATAATGATTTGATATGTGCAGGAAAAAAAAGTCAACATCAATTCCACTTCAGTAAAACTGCAACCATTAAGGAGCATTGTGCATTGATTGATGTATGTACACAAATACTCAATACAGATTCAAAATGTCAACTTAAAATATTGTCCAAATACCATGGTTATGATATAAAATTAAATTTCTTTCCCCAAATAAAAACAGATTTTCCAGAAGGCAGAAGCACCCCGGCCTAAGGAATTAATGCACTGCACCCTTTTGATTTTACAAAATTGGTAAGTGAATATCAGAGAAACTTGGAATGAAATAGGTCAAGAGAAAACTGACTGGAGTAGAGGGAGTTTCACAACCAGACCTTAAAGTTCCAATACAAACAGGAGCAATGTAATACAGTGTTCTATCATAGTTCTTAACTGAATGAATTCAGAAACTTCTTCTAAAATGCAACTGTCACAGATAAATGGAAAACATGTACATGTACTTGCAAAAATCATACAACCTCTAAACCCATATACAGTGTTATGCCGTATATCTATAAACACATATTCTTTAAAAATAATCCCCAACTTAAAGATGAAAGATATATTGCCATAAAAACATACATAATACAACCTAGAAATACTATAATTTGACAGAACTAAAGGGTTTGAGCATAGGTACCCATCTGAAGTACATTGATGATAAAAACTAATACAAATAATGAATTTAAAATTTGAAACGTGTCATCAGGTCACTTCTACTTCTCTAAAAAGGGTCATTTAAGCTTTTATCACCTGAAATTTTCAATTTATACCTTATTAATGCACAATATTGAATGACACTTTCAATCTTAATGAAATACATGAACACATGATGTCATAAACTAAAACATTTCATCACAACTTGTATACTCAAGGTATATTATATTGATCAAACATGATAATTCTCATAATAAATAAATTCAAATTCATTTACCTCCCTTTAACTGCTAGATATGTACTCATCATTCAAATCTTTTCACATCTGGGACCACAAAATTGTAAATTTTTTTCTTCAAATTCATAAAAACCTTACAGTAATACATGTATACAGGGTTACTTTCACCCCCTGTTATTTTCATCCATTCACACTTGCAAATAATTCTGCCCCAATTTAAATGTGCTTAATAAGTTATGTTTAAGAAATCATACTGTTTTCTTTGAATTCGCCCCATTTAAATTCACTCACCTGCGAGTAAAGTAAAAGGGATGAAAACAGAATGGGGGCAAAAATTCCCTTGTATACAGTAATACAGATTTAAGTTTTGTGGATACCATATCGGTCACTGTTATCATTATGCACTATTTTCCCAGCATTTCTGCCTTCAGACGATCAGCTATAGCTTTCCTCATGGCCATCTTTTTCTCCTCCTCGGGACTAAGTTTATTGGATTTTTCTGACACTCCATCTTCCATGGCTGATTTGGCCATGCGAGCAGACACGGGACGTTTTGGTTGGGACTTTTCTGCAGCTAATAACTGCTTTTCTCTTTCCTTTTTCTTCATTTCTAGCAATTTGTCTCTTTGTTGCTTCAAAAATTCTTGTCTCTTCTTTAGTTCTTCTGAGTTCATGTTTGACATGGCTGCCTGTATTTCAAAATGAAAAAAAATTATTACTTAACTGAAACAGATCTAAGTTCATGTGTATAAGTATAATTTTTTCTCCACAAATGCCTTGTGATTGGAATTTTAAGCTGTTCAAATACAGAAAAGTTAGATAATTAATCTAGTGTATCTTTTGCTATTTTTAACGTTTCTGCAATTCCACTAAACAGTAAACATAGAAAAAATGGACAAATTCTTGTTGCAATTTTACAGTATCTGTCATTTTGATCAAGATTTTGCATGTTTCACAAGTAATCTTACCTTTCCAATTCAAATGGCCTTGTATCTAAATTACTTTGAATTTAATAAAAAAAATATATAACCAGTGAAGAACCTAGCTAACACAAATACACAAAGCAGAATTACAGATCCCAGTACTCACAGCAGCTGCCTGGACAGCCGAAGTGGAAGGTTTGTTTGAAGTGGGCGTGTCATCTGTCTGTTTTAACCAGTTAGCTGCAGCCTCTGCACTCGACATCTGCGGTTTCTGTTGACCGACACTTGGTAGTTTCTGGGAGGCGATGGCTGCAGTGACACTAGCCGCAGGGACAGGTTCTGCTGGTTTAGGAGGGGGTGCGGCACTTTGGGGAGCAGCAGGAGTCACTGATATACTAGGCTAAAAATATGGTATAAATAGCTATTAATGAAATATGCCTTTTCTTTATAGTTTGCAAGACAAACAGATCAACTAAATAAATGTCAAATTCATTAAACAAGAGGTACAAATGACTCAACCATATTTTTGCCTTTTGTTGATTATCTCCCCTTGAAAGGGAGCTTGTTCTGTTATTTGAACAACTTATAACGAAGACTTGTACCAACAAATTACAATTGGACAAGTTGTTCTAAAGAAGAAAAATAGTGAAGAGTTTATGGATGGAGAGCTTAAAGCAGCTGAACAAGCAACTTGACAGTTAGACAGACACTTGGCTATGGGGGATCAGAAAAGCTTAATTTAGCTTCAACTAAGATGAGCTAATAATATACATTAAAAGGTAAGCAAGTTTGATTTTTGATCATTTTGCACTAGGAGTCTTCTCAATTGGATTGCATAAAAAATGATACAGATAATCTTTAAAAAAGGCTTAAAAAAATTGAAAGAAAGATTTGAAAATTTACTTCATCATCAATCAAAGGAAAAAACATTAAAATCTCAATATCAACAGGAAGAATGAGTTATTTTCTGTGTTCACTAAGTACACCCACCCAAGAGTTAAATTCTCAAAATGCTTAACATTTATTATGATATGTTTCGTTCATTCTGTGTCAGTGTGCTTGTACTTCAACAATACCTGACAATTTTTAAACATAATGCATGACCTAACCATATGTTTATAGTTTTGATGCTGAAACAAACATGCAGGCAAACAACCTCCCTTCTACAATTACAAATTATGTGCAGAACAATACATGAAATACCTAATAGGGTACATTACCTAGCTAATTCACAGCTTTGTGATCTATGACAGATTAACATATTAAGCAGACCTGTTTCTTTGCTTCCTGCAAATCCAAGTTAAAAATCCCACAAATGCATCAATACATTGAGGAAAATGGGGAACATAATCTGACAGTCAGAGGTGATAATAAAGTGATAAAGATTCTCCAGAATTGGATTACTAAGCATTCACTGACTGGGTAACCATTACTAGTTAGTAGTAGATACTGAAAAGTATAGGATGGAAAAAATTCACACAGGCATCATGACCATTTCATTAGCTCCTTTGATTGGAAAATATTCCCACTCCAACTTGACATTTATTTCATAATAATTATTTTATCAGATCATACATAGTTTTGTTTTAGGTTTTCATGTTTCCACATTATTTCCTGCTTGCACCTGTAGTTTGCTATCTTGATTTTGTAAAACTTTCAAGTTTGCACCAGTAAGTGCTGACTTGAAAAATATATGTGTTTGTGCAAATAGACTTAAAGTGTTTCATTTACAAGCTAAAGTGATATTTTTTACATACCTGTACTGCTGACTTGAAACCTGTTCTGGGGTATTGCTAGAAGTTGTTTCTTGTTTCAGCTTTCATTTGTGATTTATACTTACCACTGGATCTGTCGGAGGTTTTGCTGGTAATTGTTTATTGATTCCTGATGTAATACATGTACTTACTGCTGACTTGACCATGTTGAGATGTACATGTTGTGGTTTTGTCTATTTTGTTTATTAGTGAATAGATGTAATACTTACCACTGACTTGAGGTCTGTTTGTGGTTTTGGTGGTGGTGGTTTATTAGTGATGTAAAACTTACCGCAGACTTGAGGTCTGTTTGTGGTTTTGGTGGTGGTTTAGTCTCCTTTATTTATAAGTAATGCAATACTTACCGCTGACTTTAGGTCTGTTTGTGGTTTTGGTGGTGGTGGTTTTGTCTATTTTGTTTTTTAGTGATGTAAAACTTTCTGCTGACTTGAGGTCTGTTTATTGTTTTGGTGGTGGTTGTTTTGTCTATTTTGTTTATTAGTGATGTGATGACTTACCGCTGACTTGAGGGCTGTTTGTGGTTTTGGTGGTGGTTTAGTCTCCTTTATTTATTAGTAATGTAAAACTTACCACTGACTTGAGGTCTGTTTGTGGTTTTGGTGGTGGTGGTTTATTAGTGATGTAATACTTACTGCTGACTTGAGGTCTGTTTGTGGTTTTGGTGGTGGTGGTTTATTAGTGATGTAATACTTACTGCTGACTTGAGGTCTGTTTGTGGTTTTGGTGGTGGTGGTTTATTAGTGATGTAATACTTACCGCTGACTTGAGGTCTGTTTGTGGTTTTGGTGGTGGTGGTTTATTAGTGATGTAATACTTACCAGTGACTTGAGGTCTGTTTGTGGTTTTGGTGGTGGTGGTTTATTAGTGATGTAAAACTTACCGCTGACTTGAGGTCTGTTTGTGGTTTTGGTGGTGGTTTGGTGTTTCCTGCTGGTGGTTTACTAGATGCACTGGTTTGTGGAGCCGATTCATTTAATGTCATCCCAAACAAAGCCTATAATGCAGTGAATACAAATCTTCTAATATACATGTATATGCAGATTGACTGTGGATGGCAATCAAATACATGAATTACTAATTGGATAACTACAAGATGACCTAGTTCTGACCGATTAAATGGAAAATTGTATCAAAGTGGAAACATTTAAAACAAATTATTTAAAAATGTGCAAGCAATGACCAGAGTCAGTTATGTAGCATCAGCTTTCTCTGACATACACTTATAGTTAATCTGAGCTAAAGAGCAATGCCAATAGACTGAAGGAAAAAAAAACTACACTGTCATCTCCTGCTGACCTGGTCTAGTTTGGTTTTCTCTTTACTTTTCTCCTCCTCCAGTCTGGAATGTTCGACCTTGGAGATCGTTATCAGACTCTCCATCTCCTTCTTCATCTCCTCTTCTTCCACTGTCTTTTTCTTCTTCTGTTCTTCCTCATATTCCCTTTTGGACTGTCTAATATATATAAGAAAAAAATGCTTATTGGACTGCAAAAATCACTTTTTAATGACAATATATTTCCTCAGAAAATATCATAACATTATGAACTTTTAGTACCATTAGCTACTTTAATTTCTTTTCAGATGATTTTTTAAATTTTTTTTTAAATATATTTTTGTTACAATTTACTGGATTATAAAATGAAGCATTATGCCTTACTCTAAAACAGCTTTCAGGATTTCTTCCTCATTCTGTGCCCCGTACTGCTCATTGGAGGGGGCAGGGGGTGCGGATGTAGAGGGTTTTGATGTCCCCTCACTCAGGCTTTCAGGGAGAGCCCCCTGCATCTGCATGATCATGGCTAGAGCCTGCTGTTGTAACTCAATGTTTTTCTGAACCATCAGTCGAACAAAAATGGTGTAGTCCTCAGCAGCAAAGAACTGCTCAAACAGGCTCTGTAAAACAGATATCATTTTTATATACAGTAATTCAGTCAACAGTATTGAATCTAAGCCATTCATTTTTTTTATTTATCTTAGATCTATTTTACAATTGTTGATAGATATCAATTTGACAAATGGACATGGTGATACCCCACATCTTATTTTTCTTAAGGGGGAGTCTAGGTGTAAATTTCAATGCAATCGTAAAAAGTGGAATCCATGTATGGCATCATTTCAAATCAGACTCGAATTGTATGACATTCATTTTTAATCAAACTCAAACTTTTTAAATGTGTGGGGATTAGAATGTTGCATACAAAGAAAAAAATTGGTTTTAAGGTGGTGAGAAGAGGTCAATCAAAATAAATCAGTGACGAAAAAATAAAAATATGCATTTGAGCTTATTTTTTATTTTAAATTCATTTCCATAAAAATTACAATCTTTATATAGTGTAATAGTCTTCAACACAAGTGCCCCACTTACTCGCCAGTACTCCATTTCTCCCTGTTTATTAAATAGGATATTGATTTAATGAAAATACAGAGAGAGAGAATATGAATAGATAGCAAGGGCCACCTTTAATGACTATCATGAAAAATTTTAAGTTGCCCCAGATAATTTGAAGTATTCACATCATGTACAATTTAAGATTAATTTATATTCTGGTATTCATGAATATACTACTTAGGTTGATTACTTCAGAAATCAATATAAACTGTCTTTGTCAGTATCACTAGAGGCAGTGAAGCGGCTAAATTTGTAACAGAACTAGTCATCAGGTGGCCATGAAATGAGGAATAAAATTTCATTTTACCAAGCTGACTCTGCACTTAGCAGGATAGTAAAAATTACAAAATCCAACTAGCTTTAATTGAACATGAAATACTGGATCTCCTGTTATTTCTATAGATATCAGAATCCTTCTATTTTGTTTTCTGCTTTTCAAATTCAATACACAAAATTTACCTTGAGAGAATTACAATGCATGCATATAATTCTATGCTAACCCTGGGTACCATATATTTGTTTAAAATTTTTCAATATATCTTAATAAATTGGAAATTTCAATGAAAATAAATTATAATTACCGTATAAGTGGAAATTTTAGCGACCATTTTATTTTGGCATTATAAGCGAGGGTGCTGTGATCGCTAAAATTGAATATCGCTAAAAATTAATTGGGTTTTATTTGTTATAGCTTCTTAAGTGAGCATTTTAAAATCACTAAAATTAATTATTGCTAAAAATGAAGTACCAATTTTTAAGGAGAAATCGCTAAATTTGCGTCTTGCTAAAATTTCCACTTCTACAGTATATTCTAATTTAAATGTTAGAATGCATGCAAACTAAAACAGTTTATGGGAAATAAGATATTAAAATTAAAACTGCTTGGATAATGTGTTGATCATCTCTTTATATTTAGATCTACACTTTTTCTCTTCCATGAAATCAGCAGCAATACTGCCCTGATTTTTTTGTCAGATAATTAATCAATAAATGTGATTAAGGAAATAGGTTGACACAGCGCAATTGCTCAACCAGGAATAAATTATGGTTGCGAAATAACTTCACTACAGGACTTTGAACTAGTACATGTATTCTATTAATAATACTTCAATCTGAATTTTGCAAGAAAATATCATGACAATCCCTAAAAGGTGTAAGAAAAACTTGTTCTGAAATGACAATCAAACAATTTTCAAAACTTTTTAGAGAAAGGTGAGGAGGGGGGGGGGGCTTCTTCTTGGGATTTTACTTTCAAAACCTGAGTTAATGCACTATCTATAAATACTTACCTGGAACATTTCTTTGATTTCCTTTCTCCTGTTCATGTCTTGGACAGCTTTAATGACCTGGTCATGGCTTATACCTGTATCTTTTATGAAGGCGTCCAGCAACTTCTGAATCTATTTAGACAAAGAATTTAAAATCTGAAGTTTTCCCTAGAATCAGTAGAAGTCTCCAGACCTAAGTCTATGGAAAAGAACGACAAGAACTCATTTTGCCCTTCCTTATTTCGCAAATAAAACTTACAATAGCTTTGTATTCCTGGTGAACTTTCTTGTATTCCTCACTGTCTTCAATACTTGGATCAAAAACTGAAATTGAACAGCTTCATATACTTATATAAGCTTGAACCCAACATCACAAGTGATAAAAGGATTATGAAAATCTTAGATAAAAAATAGCAACTGCTTTTCATTTCACTTGCTAAATCAATATAAGTCCGGGCATATCATTATCTTGCAACTTTGAGCTTTTTCAAGGAAACAACAGCTCCTGGGAAAAATTTTGAGAAAATTTTTCAGTTATTTTCAGTGCAACTCCTTTTATATTCTTCAAAATCATTTCAGAGTGTATCTACATGTACTCTGATTTCTTTCCTATATTACAACTATATAAGACATATTTTAACTGTTAGTCTCATTGTTCTGACTATGCCTTCTCATGTTATATATGTATCTGCCATGGATAATTAGAGTCCAAATTATATATCTTCAGACCTTTTTCCAAATTATATATCTTCAGAATTGCGCCCATGTGAAAAGGGTCCTTATGGCAATTTTTATGCATTTTGAGTTTTTCACGGATTCTGATAGAGTAAGGTTAGAAGTTGTCAAATATGAATTTTTATGGTCCTACGTCTACTCTAAGTAGGTTTTTTCTTCATTTTTATCAAATATACTTTAACAGGTTAATAATGACGTCATGTTTTTCAACAACGTCAAACGTTTTCAGAGTGAACGTTAAATGATTTTCTTCTGTAATTTTACTACGGTGATTAATAGTTGTATAATATTTGATATTTTTCCATGCACATTATTTTTATCTCATTGTCTCTTTTAATTATTAATAATTATTTAATAGTTATATATATTATGGATTCATCAGTGGTGTATAGTATTATGAGTGAGTGTTTGTTTTACATATCACTTTTCTATGACACCAGGGGGAAACCTGAACAGCGGGCAACATCCATTAATTTTTTTTTTTTGTTTTTTTTTTTTAAACAATTATTTTCTCAAACAAAATATTTACTGGTAATCCATGCAAGAGTCATTTGATAAGCCTGTAGAATTCATTTGAAAATTATTTTAATTTAAACATTGCTCTCGATAGGTCAAGATTTCAGCATAAACGATATATCTTTAGTTACCATATATGTGAAAATTGCAACATTACGCTACCTAAATGCTACTGCGAAGCGAAAATTTATTTGATTGTTCTTTCTTTCTAAATTTTATATAAAAGACAGAAAAATTGTGAAGTGTGGTACATGTAACATGTAATTACGATACACAATGCAATAGACAGTAAATAAAAAGGAAATTCGGTTGATTCACTGCATCTACGAGTATAAGGTTGTCTGTCTGCATTGGGTCAATAATGACACTGCTTTTTTGAGAATATAAAGGATACACGAAATATTTTTAAGTTTAGCAGTAAAAATATTTTAATATTAACCAATCAAAAGGTGGAAATTTTACAAACAAATGAATGAGTTATAATCCGCAACATTTACACAATAGATAAACCCAGGATTAACATTTGTAGGATTATGTGTATGTTGGTGAAGGGGGGTGGGGGTGGGGGGGGGGGGGTTAAAAAATCTAAATGGCAGAAACTTACAATTCTTGTGAACACGAGTTAAAATAAATAAAAAATATTTTTTTTACTTCAAAAGTTTTAGGTGCACCCAGTACCATTAACCCTACAACTTGAAGATTCACTTTTTTATTTAGGTTTGAAATAATGCTGCCTATCATTCTTCATTTTATTTTTGTACCTTTAATTCTGAGCATTGTCATTTTCAAAATCGCACAGCGATCATAAACACTATGAGCCTGGAACTGAATTGCTATGAATTCAGTATTGTTAATCATGTATATAATGATACCCTAAAATTAAAAAATCTGGTTTTATTTTATGAAATGGATGGTTTTAGAAGCACACCCATAGAATTAAATCAAAGATGCCATTTACGGTTTATATGTATAGCTTTTGTTAGGGTAGGGGTGGGTTAAAGATTAATAACATGTAATTGTTTATGCCTAAATATACAGTCAGTTGAATATGACTGTTTTGTATAATATATTTCCTGAAAATTTTCTGTGAACTGGCTGAGCTTTGAAATGTCAGATTTATGTAGGGATGTAAACATCTTAGAAAATCATCATATTATTTATGACCTAATTAAAAAAAAATCCCCTTCATTCTAATGTTGTTTTCTAATTTTGTTCTATAAAGTGAGTTTTAAAGAGTATGAATTCCATTCTGGTCCCGTGCCCAGGGACGTAGCCACAGTGTGTGTGTGTGGGGGGGGGGGGGGGGGGGGCTGGCCCTTCACTTTTTTCCCCAACCTTACTTATACTATAGGAATTGATAATTGAAAGTCTGGTTGCCCCCCCCCCCTCCCACTATTGTGATGTACGGAAAACATAGTATAAAAATTGGTACTGAAAAAAATTGGCCTCTAACCCCCCCCCTCCCCACGAAATAGGATTTTCGACTTTGTGCAACATTAACCTTTTTTTTTTTTTTTTTTGCCTGTCAACTTTTTCAGGGAAGTAAAAAAAATTCTCTGGCTGCCCCCCCCCCCCACTTTCAAAAACGATGCTACGTGCCTGGTGCCAGAAGCTTGGATATGCTAAGTCTTGTAAAGCCTACATGTTACGGAAATATATATAAGCACCCCCCCCCCCCCCACCACCTCAATCCCCTGCACTGCAGCCAAAATAAAACAAAATGCAAGCATATTGTTGCCGTTATATGTCATGTATTTTCAGCATTGAATTTTATTTTCTGTTAGCAATTACATGTAGAAATAAAACCCGACCCTGAACTTATAAAGATTTTTTTATCAACCAAAACAAATAAATATTTTTTGAGCATATTTAATAATATTTATCCATAATTTGATGGCAGGTTAAACAATATATTATTCCACACTGATAACTGCAATGAGAAGTTCAGTGATGATTGAGTTTTTAGCATGATAATTGATCTGTTAAGAGACATTCAATGCTGATCGAGCTTTTATGAAAGACAAAGTTTGGCATGGCTTAAAGAATTAATTTGCAGATAATGCTTAAAACATTTGAACTCCGTATGAAAAAAAAAACAACAACACGTAAGTACCAAAGAGTTACATGTATATTAAACTTGGAGATCTTGAAAATAAATAGCTATACATGTATATATAGTTTAGAGAACAAAATTGATATTTTCTTTCATTTATTATTTCATTTGTTTTGAAAACTCATCTGTTTCAATAGAGTTTCACATTTCTCAATATTAGATAAATAGATTCAATATAAATATTTTTATCTATATACCCTCTCCTCTCTCTCTCTCTCTCTCTCAGATTTACTTGACCAGCTCTATTTAAGTTAGAACATTAAGAACATTTTTTTTCATTCGGATGTTTTTTGCTTGTTTTAATTTCTCTAAATTGAAGTGTCTTTGTGCAACAAGAATATAAGACAAAACAACATTTTTAAATTTTAATTTATTTTATCTTGATTATAGGGTAGACCTTTACATGTGTATTATTTTTTTTAAATGAAATTCGTCATGAAATTATTTCCTGCAAAAAAAAAAAAAAGCTATAGATAAGAGATTTGAAAAAAAATTAAAGTCTGTTCAATTTTGAAGTTTTCTTTTTTTTTTTCTTCTTTGTTTTTGTTTTTAAGTTAACCTTATTCCCAAAGTACAACAATATTTTTTTATTTAAAAATGCATGATTATGATGACGATTAAAAGTTTTTTTTTTTATTTGGTCATAAAATATCTCTTTTATAATACGGGAGAAATTTCATGCGAACATGCAGCTGAAATGTGAAAAAGTACGCAGTTAAAATAATGAATGTCCCTGCCTGGTACCCCTGTTACATCGATTGTTGACATCAGAGTTATCTCTCCTATTTTTATTTATAGAAAATACAAATAATCTTGACTATCGTTCTTACACATTCTTGCTAGATTTGTAAAAAAGATGTATGTTTAATTTCAACATTTGTACAAACAATTTAACAACAGTTTAAGCAGTATGCACCGATGAATCAATGTTTACAAGTGATCGACGCGATCTTGATGTGTATTTGAGAGTGGTGGAGCGGATCTCAAAGAAGTAGGAAGACATTTTTCCTTTGCAATATTTTTTTCGACATACCCTGTCTAAGATGTATTCTAAAAATTGTATAAATATGTAAATAAAATTTATCTAGCGTGTAAAGGTTCAATATCCTATGATCAGAAAACACCTTGTCTACAGCTTCTATACATTTAATCACCTATGTAGGAAAACTATTGGTATTATAGAGACGTATTTAATAATGTTTGTTAAGAAACCAGTTCTAAATGTTTTTATTTATATCTATTATAATCGGTGGATTAGAAGATTCAGATATTGATTCAATTAATTTAACGATGAAAATAAATTCCACATGCTGGAAACAGCAATGAAAACTCTGGATGCGTCAAACGTCAAAACACGTGGTTAAAAAAAATCTGTGTCGAAGTTCACCGTCAGTCTGCAACGTCACATCTTTATGACGTTATTTCTCTGTTTTAGCAAAAATGCCATAAGGACCCTTTTGTCATGGGCGCAATCATTTGTTTCCTTCATAAGAAGTGGAAATTTAAAGAAAAACTGTTCAAAAGATATGGAATATATCAATTCATATTTTACTATGCTATTTTATGCACTCAAAATGGTCATTTACATGATGAAATTCAGTTGGGTCCCGCAAATGTGCTTGCCCTGCACCGCATGGGATCTGGGGTGGTCTCCAGACCCCCAGCTGATTTTCCCATTTTCTCCAGAAATGGTAGTTTTCCCTAATAGCTAGATTAATAATAATCCCTAATAGCGGAGAAAAAATTACATAATTAGCTGCTAAATGTTCTAAATTAAAATTACCACTGACCGGACTTCGGTTTAGTATTATAAATGCAACATACATACAACGTCTTGTGACGTCAGAGTCTAGACGTAGCAAACGTCACATGCTGTTTGATGAGACCAAACTAAAATAGGCAAAATTAAATAGAAATCTGCGCCCTAGCTAACTGTCAACATATTATTAACATTTGTAAAATTCTGATGCCTTCTTTTACAATCCATCCACGCAGAAAAAAATCAAAGGTGTGAGAAACTAAGAGTAGATCTAGTGGAGATATTGCAATAGGTGAAAATAAAAATCGATGTCGAGCATTGGCATGCATAGCAATGACATACATGAACTTTCTCTTTGTACACATTTATATAAAATAAACATTCACCAATAACGTGAAAAAATACTCACTTAAACATTTTGATTCCATAAAAGTTAAAACTGGGACTTGAAAGAAAGGATTTCCCAAGAAACACAGTAGTTCATCGTAGACCCAATCATCTCGCTTCGCCATCTTGACAAAATGACGCCAAGTCTCGCGTTTCTAGGGATTTTATTCGGAATTCTCTAGACTTTACCTTGAATACACATCGGAAAAAATTAATTTGCTCAAAATTTAGTCGTGTCTATACTTGATTCAGTATAATTTAAAAGGGACCAACTCAATAGATACTCAATATCTAATTGTAATTTACGATCCTTTTGCTGATTAATCAAAAGTACTTAAATATTCTTATTCTTGTTATATTCATAGGGTTATAGCAATTTTTTTCTTAGATATAAAATAAAAAAAGAAGCTATTTAAGAGTTTCATTAGTTAGAAAAATGATATTTTTTCAGATAAAGGAATAAATTTGTAAATCATCAATCATTTGGTTCATTTAAATTATCTTTTGTTTTACTAACAATGTATACTTTTATTAATTTTTATCTTTGTGTAAATATGTTAAAATAAAATCGGTTAAAGAGCTTACCACAGCTCATGTTATCTCTATTGTACTGTATATATGTGCCGACTATTAATAAAATTTACTTGACTTGATTATGATACTCAATACAGTTTGGGTTATTTAGAAAACCGTACAAAATATCTTAGGTATCATTTTGAGGATACACCGTTTAACCTCAGTTTCAGTATCAATCTTTCGGAACCCATTTCGTATTTCCCTTGGTCAATTCTGAGAGATAGTAATGAGATGATGAAAAGTGTAAATTTGAGCTTCTACAAGTTTGAGGAATATGATGTTTTAACTTAGATAAGTTAAGTGGATAAAAAGAACTGAAAATGACAACCCGTGCAGCAACATGTAAGTATAAGGATATTGTGACTGCACTTTGAGAAGACGCAGACGATAGGTCATGAATGCAAATGCAATGATGGACTAATCTGATTATTATGAACGTCCATTTTTCGATGGTTGTATGCGAGAGCGTATTATCACGTAGCTCTTTCTTCCTCTGTCCTAGTGAATGTGTATTTTAAAAATAATTTTAGGGATGTGTATTTTCTAATGATTTTATAAACCAATTTTTGTATCTTTGAATTTTGTAAACTGCTACTCCCTTTAATAACAAAATGCCAATTTGAAAAATTTGTGACATATATGAGGCGCCGTTTTAATATTTTTGGGGTATTTTCTGATATCCAAAAAGAAATTATTGATATCAATAATTTGAATTCTTGATATCAAAAAATATTTTTTGATATCAAAAAATAATTCTTGATATCAAAAAAAAGATTTTTTGATATCAGAAAAAGATTTTCTGATATCAAAAATTCGAATTTTTGATATCAAAAAATCATTTTCTGATATCAAAAAAGAAAGAAGAATTTTTGATATCAAAAAATACATTTTTTGATATCAAAAATTCGATTTTTTGATATCAGAAAATAAACAAGATTTTTTTATATCAAAAAATCAAATTTCTGATATCAGAAAATCGTTTTCTGATATCAAGAATTCGAATTTTTTATATCAGAAAATGATTTTTTGATATCAAAAAATGATTAGTATTTTCTGATATCACAAAATCAATTTTTTGATATCAGAAAATAAGAACCAAGTAAAATTTCGATCGATTTAATGAATGATCCCCGTTATGAACTTTCAGTTCCCGCCACACAAATTGTTGCGAACTTTGTTGAGTTCTAATAAGTCTTAAAATTGGACATGTTTGGATATGTTAGGATGCTGTCGTCTTTTGAACATGCTTCTCATAAGTTGAAGACCTGTCTTGTTATAAGGATGTCATCGTTCTTTTACACTATTGACTATATTTTAAGAATTTATTGTGCACACACAACTTAAGCACCAACTTTATGGATAACTCCGACTTCACCTTGAAGACCACACAACGAGTACTTGCTGGTCAGCTGTGATGTTACATCACTTTAGACATTGACAAATATGCAATTGGAAAAGCTAATGGCTGCTGTTGATAGGAGTAACAGAGAAATTCTAAGTCTAAGCCCGACCTACAGCACACCTAGATTGTTGCCGATAAACAACAATTTCTTTCTGTTTTACACTTTAATGTCTGAACATGTGTTTAACGAATATACAACGTTTTCTAAACATTTACTGTAGCCCGAACCCGATCCTAAAACAAGATTATTTTTACAAAGATGGATTATTTACTCAGATTTATCCCAAAAACTAAAAAGTAATATATTTGAATTCCATGCAAATAAATATGACCAAAAATATCAAAAACACTTATTAAATTCTTCCATTAAAAAATATTATTAAAAACCTGATTTAAATTAACAAATTTTAGTAGAAAGCAAATCTGGCACTGAAGTTCGGGATTTTCTCAGATCAAAGGAGTATTCATTATTTATGTGAAGTTTCTTCGACATTTTATTTTATTTTCTGATATCAAAAAATATTATATATATATATATATCAAGAAATCAATTTGAATTTCTGATATCAAAAAATCATTTTCTGATATCAGAAAATCGATTTTTTGATATCAGAAAATGATTTTTTGATATCAGAAATTCGAATTTTTGATATCAGAAAATGACTGATATTTTTTGATATCAAGAAATCGAATTTTTGATATCAATAATTACATTTTTTGATATCATAAAATCCTGAAGATTTTTTGATATCAGAAAATGATTTCTTGATATCAGAAATTCGAATTCTTGATATCAAAAAATGATTTTCTGATATCAAAAATTCGAATTTATGATATCACAAAATGAATTTTTGATATCAGAAAATACCTTAAAAATATTAAAACGGTGCCCCATAGACATATACATGTGAGAAATTGCTTCATGTAGTGGGAGCTCTGGGAGCACAAGTAAGAGTATTTGGTATCATTTTGGCTATATGCCCAGCATCACTTGGTCTCTAATCTGCCTAATATATTAATTGTTTATCAATGCCTTAATGCATATATATCTTTTGAATTAATTGTAAGAGGAAAACGTTTAAAATTTTGGAGTATATATATTTCATAAGAAATTACAAGGGCTAGTAAGCTCGTGACCTAGATCCTGTTGATATTTAACTTTGACATTTCACAGTGAAATTGTAAACAATTTGATATTTTTTTTTTAATTTTAAAAACAAGGGAGATAATATATAGCATGTACATTACTAATTTAGCCTTTGCAAATCACTGACTTGGGATCTTGAACTTGTTCTTAGACTTTAACTTTTCTTATTAAAGTAAGCTTGACTTGATTTTAAAATGTTAATCTTTCAGGGCTAGGACAAAACTGAACATTGGCATCTTTCAATTATCATTATGCTAAAGAAACTAATTACTTTAATTCTCTGGAAGTCTTTTATGAATATGAGTTATTCTGTATGTCTGTGCATTAGATTTTTTTTGTATTGTGATAGACACAATCCATGCCTCAATCCTTTTCAGTCAATTCAAAGATCAAGAATCTAAAGGACTATAGATTTCGGATTTTAAACAACTTGACCCCACAGCCCACTGGGATTGAAATCGAAAACACACTGAAGTACTTTTCCCAGACTTTAAGAAGGTGAGCATTTTTTGTGTGCTTGTAATGTTTAATAGCTGCTTACAAATTACCTACATTATATATACAGTGCAATCCCCTCTTTTATTTTTGCACCTTTTGCCCAACTCTCAGTTGGGTGAATTTAAAGTGGGACAAGTCAAGGAACACTATTATTTCTTGATCAGAACCATGAAAAAGTGAATGAATTTAAAGGAGACTAAATTTTTTACAAGTGTCAAAGGGCAAAAATAACTTGGAGGGGGGATAACCCTTTATGCAGTATATTTTAATAGCAAGAAATGATTGACAGCCCATTAAGGCATAAACTGTATATAATTGTAACAACACCCTTACAACAGAGAGAAAATATATAACACCATGAGTTCATGACCATCTTCGATGGATCCTGCATCACGCAGCAACAATTTATGTTGATAATTTAATCACAGACTCAAACTTAGTGTAGATGGTACATCTGACCGATACTTTTGTGATGAACTGCAAGGCTAAAGTTTCTTACCAGGTTCTTTACTTAGCATCTATAAGTCGCACCATAGCCAAACTGACATTGATGCTGCTTCCAAGGATGTGTGTGGAGTTCATTTCAGCTGGATGGTAAAGATGTCATATGATTGGTACAGAAGAAGCCAGATTTACATTACTAGAGCAGCTTCATTTTCATATCTGATAAAAATTTACCAAATTTAGACTTTCATGTATGAAACTTCTAGGGTTGCTTATTAGCTCTGACAACTGAATTTATAGTTTGTACTAATAGTTTTTAAATTGAACATTGAATTTGTGTGAGACTAATCCTGACTTGTAAGCATACGCCAAAGTGACCTTCCTAGTCTTATTTTGCCTATTTCCAGTGTATTGAAGGATGTCCCCAACATTCCAGCAGAGAGCTATGGACCACGACAGAGGGACAGTGTGCGGCAGTCGGTTTTTCCTAATCTGAACTACACAGGGTTGTATTATGCCATCCTGAATATGATTGACATTGTACCTACAATGCAGATGAAACAGATAGGTATGTATTAAATTTTTGCCAGGAGGAACCTGTCAACCAATCACAAAACAATTATAATTACAAGAGCTGAGCTTGATTTTTGAAAATGTTAATGTTTTTCATAACAGATATTGAAGTCTGAAATGTAGATGAAAAACTGTGAAATCAATAAATGGATATCTTTTTTTTTGATATATATACAATGAATATGAAAAAGACATGAGTATATATGAGTTATTTATTTACAGAAATAGGGGAGTATGTTCTTAAGGTTCTGGGATGCCTTGTTCCATTTTTGGAGCACGATCTACTGGATTCTCTACCTTACACAGTGGCTTCAACCTTAGCAATATTTCCTCCTACATTACACAAGGACACCATTGATCTGCTTTGTAGCAACATGCTGCCAATGACTCTGGGTTTGTATTATCTAAAAGACCACATTGCTGTCTGTGTGTACATCTTTTCAGTCTTTTTTTTTTTTTTTTTGATATTAGGAACATAATTTTTATCAGCAAAATACTGTTCATATTTATGAAAATGATAAAAGAAGAAATCAAAATAAAATGGAGGTCTAAACATTTTGCCTTTTTATTCCCTCATATCAAAGTTGGAGAGATATAGTAATGAGTTTGTGTGTGGACGGGTAGGTGACTTAGTAATTGCATGCATCATAATGGAAGAGATGAAACTACATTGTAATAATGTATATCATGATTGATGTGCTCCTATGCAAAGATGATAAACATATGTAGCCAAAGACTATTACCATGGTGCACTTCAGTAATATGAAGTTGCACATGCACTACAATATTTTTTTTTGTCTGACAATTGTTCTTAGGTGATACATGTACATATTTTTAAAGTTTATTTAAGAATAATTTTTTTTAGCTCACCTGAGCCGAAGGCTCAAGTGAGCTTTTCTGATCACATTTTGTCCGGCGTCCGTCTGTCTGTCCGTCTGTCTGTCTGTAAACTTTTCACATTTTCGACTTCTTCTCAAGAACCGCTGGGCCAATTTCAACCAAACTTGCCACAAAGTATCCTTGGGTGAAGGGGATTCAAGTTTGTTCAAATGAAGGGCCACGCCCTTATTCAAGGGGAGATAATTGGGACTTAATGAAAATTTAGTGGCATATTTTAAAAATCTTCTCAAGAACCACTGTGCCAGGAAAGATGAAACTTATGGGGAAACATCCTCAGGTAGTGTAGATTCAAGTTTGTTCAAATCATGACCCCCTGGGATAGGGCGGGGCCAAAATGGCCGACCAAAGTTTTACATAGAAATATATAGGAAAATTCTTTAAAAATCTTCTTCTCAAGAATGACAAAGCCATAATTCATCATATTTATATGGGAGCATGCTCAGGTAGTGTAGATTCAAGTTTGTTCAAATCATGACCCCCTGGGATAGGGCGGGGCCAAAATGGCCGACCAAAGTTTTACATAGAAATATATAGGAAAATTCTTTAAACATCTTCTTCTCAAGAATGACAAAGCCATAATTCATCATATTTATATGGAAGCATGCTCAAGTAGTGTAGATTCAAATTTGTTCAAATCATGACCCCCAGGGGTAGGGCTGGGCCAAAAAGTTTTTAAAGATATATATGTAGGAAAATTCTTTAAAAATCTTCTTCTCAATCATTTTCTAAAAAATAGCTAATCCATGATTGGTCATGGGACTACTTTTGGATTTAAACTTTACAATAAAAAGCCGTTTTCTACATTTTCCTACCCTTAGTGCTCAGGTGAGCGATGTGGCCCATGGACCTCTTGTATTTATAAAGTTCTAAATTTCCAGGTTATGATGGCTGCTTTGAGCCTTCCTATGCCAGCGAGTCAGCTGCTGCCATTATAACGATGGTTCTCCAGCATACAGACAATGGTTGTAAGTTCTAAGTCATTTGTTTAATCTATTGCTTCATCAGAAAAAAAGTTAAACAGTTATAGAAAAAGTTCATATATATATAGTAGTATCATGATAAATATTTTCTCTGCAATGTTGCATGTGTGTTTTTATCTTATTTTGTAAAAGATTAAAAAGCCATAAACAAAAGTGAAGTTGGAGGTGAGGGGTAGAAAAAAATACCCTGGTAATGCAAAATGATGTAAGGTCATGCTCATTGATGTTTATTTTATTTTTTATATTACAGCATTCCACTCACAGATTTTAGAATGCTTTATGAGCATTAAAAGAGACCTTATTAAGGTAATTTTTACATCTAAGTCTTCATACTTTGCCATTGTGTGGTAAACAACTATTTCAAACTAGAAAGTTACATTCCAATATTTACTGTTTCAATGTGTATTAAAAATTTCTTTATAGCATATTGAAATACTAGTATATTGAAGCACTTTGAACAGCCCAGTGGGGCTAAACTTTAGGAGAATATTTCTTAGCTCAAATCAGAATTGACTATAGCCCCATCTTCGCTAGCCAAGGGTGTCCGATCCAAAGTCTACTCTCTGAATTGTTGTAGAGTAGATTTCGGATCGGAAACCCTTGGCTAGCAAAGATGCTATAGCCCATGCTAGTGAAATCACAGAGGGAGTAGTGCTGTATTAACTCATTTTATTGTAGGACATCCTTAGTATTGTGGCCTATGGACCTTTCACTGCTAGAGCCCCTGCTGCCAATCTGTTGTTTTATTACTGGCCTCAGCTTAATCCTGCACTGACAGATAGAAGAGGAATCCACTACAAATACACAGGTAAACCAATACATTGTCAAAATAGGAAGTTAGCCTTTATGAGGATATCTGTATATAAAAGCTAAAGAAAATTAAGAATCGTGATGATTATAGGAAAATTGGTAAAAAAAAGTTGGTCCGCCTATAAGTTGGTTGTATATTTTGAGCTTATATTGTAGGGAATGACCAAATAACATATCTACCTTTTTATAACTCATCTATAAGTGGGTCAAAGTGTTTTGGACCAAAGATTAATCTAAAAAATCCGACTTATAGGAGAGTATATTAGTAATTTAAAATGATAATATATTGCATATTGTATTGTTAGCTCACCTGAGCTGAAAGCTCAAGTGAGCTTTTCTGATCACATTTTGTCCGGCGTCCGTCTCTCTGTCCGTCTGTCTAGCTGTCTGTCTGTCCGTCTGTCTGTAAACTTTTCACATTTTCGACTTCTTCTCAAGAACCGCTGGGCCAATTTCAACCAAACTTGCCACAAAGTATCCTTGGGTAAAGGGGATTCAAGTTTGTTCAAATGAAGGACCACGCCCTCATTCAAGGGGAGATAATTGGGAATTAATGAAAATTTGGTGGCATATTTTAAAAATCTTCTTCTCAAGAACCACTGTGCCAGGAAAGATGAATCTTATCGGGAAATATCCTCAGGTAGTGTAGATTCAAGTTTGTTCAAATCATGACCCCAGGGGGTAGGGCGGGGTCAAAATGGCTGACCTAAGTTTTACATAGAAATATATAGGAAAATTCTTTAAAAATCTTCTTCTCAAGAATGACAAAGCCATAATTCATCATATTTATATGGAAGCATGCTCAGGTAGTGTAGATTCAAGTTTGTTCAAATCATGACCCCCGGGGGTGGGGCGGGGCCAAAATGGCCGACCAAAGTTTTACATAGAAATATATAGGAAAATTCTTTAAAAATCTTCTTCTCAAGAATGACAAAGCCATAATTCATTATATTTATATGGAAGCATGCTCAAGTAGTGTAGATTCAAATTTGTTCAAATCATGACCCCCAGGGGTAGGGCGGGGCCAAAATGGCCGACCAAAGTTTTTAAAGATATATATAGGAAAATTCTTTAAAAATCATTTTCTAAAAAATAGCTAATCCATGATTGGTCATGAGACTACTTTTGGATTTAAACTTTACAATAAAAAGCTATTTTCTACTTTTTCCTACCCTTAGTGCTCAGGTGAGCGATGTGGCCCATGGGCCTCTTGTTATTTTTAGCTTGGCCTCCAGTACTCTGTCAGAGACAAGGTTGTGTTAACTCAGGGAACTGTCAGGCTGTCAAGGTAAACCTTCAAATAACAGCAATAATCTGTATAATAATTTTAAAGTTCCTCTTTCAGGTCACACTTTAGATAAATTTTCTTGAAAAGAGTAAATTAAACTTCTTTTGATCATTTCCTCATTTACCAGTAGGTAAGTTAAGAATTAAAGGCTTTGTACATGTATTAAAGTTATTGTTTAAACTGAATTGTTCGATTCCGTGATAGTGACCTTTTATATTTCCTTGTATTTGAATAGATGTGTTTAAACCCTGCCCTGGCCATTCACTCTGGAGACAAGCCCCCTCCCCTGTATATCTGTAGTGACTGCGCCGATGAACTGAGAAAGGAACACAGTGAATACATCACAGATATTCTACTGCCAATGTCACATGTATCAACTGTCTGTGAAAATAAGGTTTCATATGGCTTCAACATTTAATTGAAAAAATAAAAATAATCAGAAAAACTTAAGAGAATTTAGTTTATTTACTGTTGTTACAGAACAATTGTTGTAAGGTACAATATTAGAAGCATATTACTTGAAAGTCTTAATATATATACATGTAAGTGAAAATGAAAAAAAAGGTACACAATAAACATACAGCAATATAAATTACCTGCTGTATGTAACTTTAATTCTATTATAGAACTGCAGGTCAGAAGACAATCTTGCTGTCTGTACATGTTTCTCTATTGAGTGTGCCAGCTACAATGGCAATCGACCAATCAGATACTGTGAGTACTGTGACAGCCAGCGCCACCACGGACAGAAAGGAGAGCTCCACATCTACCACCGCAGTATTCCAGAAATATGGGACTGTAACATGGAGGTCCAGAGGTACCTTACTGATGGCATTGTCAGGTAAGGAAAAGTGTCCATGCCATGCAGATTTCTTTTCAATTTCAACTATCTATTTTTGGCCAGAGATTAATTTTCTAATCTGTTCAAGGCAACTTTTTTTCAGTAGATATTGAATCATGTAATGGAAAAATACAATCCTCATGTTTATGAGTCATGTCTTAATCATTGATATTGGTTCAGGATGGAGGATTTTTTCACTTCTGCAACATGAAATATTAGTGAGGTTTCTCTTTGTTTAATGAGGTCTAATTTACATGTCTAAGCTTACTAAAAGAGGCCCAGCCAATAGAAAGCAAGCGTCTGCTGGAGATGGGAGAAGAGTACCAGCAGACTACAGCTGAGGAGGAACAACTTCTGCTGATTGAAGAAGCAGGGGAGAGAAAACTACTGAGTCGATACGGAATCTGGCTGCTGGTAGAACTCTGTACCCCCAGGGAGGATATTCCTATTGTATGTATTCTGTAGAACAAAAAGATAGTGAATGTTAGATAAGTGTGCATTGTTCCTATGTTAAATATCCAAAATTATTAGTTAGTCCTGTAAGGTTGAAATGGCGCATCATATAGCAGCATGAATGTTTAATTGTGATTCCTCCTTAAATTAGTACCTTGTGCATGCATACATGTATTGTTTAAATGGTGTTGAATTCAAATAACAAAAAATATATAGCAAACTTAAAGCTTTGTGTCCAGCAAAAATCAGACAAAGTCAATGTTAATATTTTCATCCCTGGCATGGTCATCTTTAAATTCAGAAGTGTAATATAAAAGAAAAAAATCCAGATCTTGTACTCTGTGATATGCTTGCTTTTAAGGGACGTTGGTATGGAAAATATGGTGTATGTTTTTATGGTGTTCCCTATGAATCTGTTACATTACCATAACATTCTCTCTCTTATTTTGGATTTCAGGTTCCCTTTTTTGTATACTCTTCTGTGCATATCCTTTGTATCCTTGGGTTTCAGTTTGCATGATGATGTTAGTGAAGTAATAAGTGTAAGGGTTGTACCTGAAGCTTGAAACTTAAAAGGTAAAGGGGACTTAGATTTTTGTATCACAAAAGTTTTCTGTCACTATGCATTGTATAAGTAAATGTGACAAACAACTATTTCTGAAAAATATGTCTTTATTGTAGTGTCTTCGAAAAAATCCTATTTGGCAATGCATTGATTTCTCAGTTTAAAACTTTCTTGTAGTACATGTATATGAATTTAGGATTGACAAACACTTTTATGCACATGATAGGATTTTTAAAAAAGACTTTAACGACATGATTTTTTTTTTTCAAAACAACAATGTTTCAGAGCCTAAGAGATTTTGTTTTTCAAAGAAATTTTGTTGACATACAATGTACATGTAAATAAGACTTGGTTCCCAGACTTTGTATGACTGTTGTAGGAGGTGCTAGGACGCTTGTTAGGGATGTTGTTCCAGTGGTTTGATGCTACAGCCTATTTACCTGATGGTGAGATTTTATATTCTGTTTCCTTATACAGCTGATTTATCATAGATATAATATAGTTAAAAGAAGTAAACAACTAAACTGTATTTTTTTCAGACAATGTTGGAAATGCCTTGGAGAGATTAAAGGATGAAGTATGTACACATTTTGATTAAAGAAAAAAAAAGTTAGAATAAAAAATCAGAACATGAAAGAGGATAAAAGTGTCTTAAAATTGATTTCCATGAAAAGTTTACATATATATTATTATAACAGTAACTTGATCCAAAGGGTCGTATCACGTCGAGTTGACAGGCGCGGATCATCAGATCAAACGAGACGCTTCATGTCATAAACAGAATTCAATATTATTTTAGCTGTATTGTTTGCAAACATTGACAATATTTTGATATACATGTATCACTAAATTATATGTACTATAATACATGCACTAGTATTTACATAATACATTTAATATATAAACAACTAAAGGTATTCTTTGGAATCATTGATGTATCACCCATATGATCTCTAACCCACCCCACTGTGTTACAGTATGTCTGTGATTGGCTGGATGAAGTGGCCAAGACTCACTTTGAGGTCATTGTGTCCTGTCTGTTGCCACACCCAGTTGAGTATGCCAGGGTGGGCGGATTCTGGTGGGTAGTTTTCTTTTAATTTATCACGTTTTAATTAATCTTTTAAATTGTTAATTGCAATCAATGTAAAAATGTTATAATATTTGTAAATAATACATAATCTGTAAAATTTACAGATAACATAGTTTGATGCTGGAATAATTCGCTTTTGTCCATTTTTTTTTCAGGGACACCTTGTGTTCCAGAACAGTGCAGATCAAAGAAGGCCTCAATTGTTTCTTTTGTTTGGTGCCCTATGATGTCATTACTTTTGAGGTATATACATGTATTATGAAATTTATTGGCATAAAAAACTTCCTCAATAATCTATTAAACATACAGCTAAAAGAGAAATTAGAGAAAATGGAGATATGCAAGTACATGTACATTGATTTATTCAATTAATAACAGTTCATCAAATCAAATTGATCCTTTGTAGATATGGGACTATGTGATGCCGTACTGGTTAGAGGCAATCCGAACTGAAGTACCATCAGAAGATTTGCATCACCTCAAAGTTTTGCTGAAGTAGGTTTATAAAAAAAATAAGTTACCAGATTAAGTAAGTAAGACTGAGTACTTTCTATTGTCATTTGCAAGTGACATACACCTTTAACCATAGTGTCTAGGTACATACATAATACACTTTATTACTGTTTATTGTAGTAAGTCTTTTGACATGGACTTGTGCCCTTTACCCTTTGGTACAGACTCTGACAAGATGTACCATTTTATATCTGAGAGGTTTGATGACAGCAGTGCTTATGTACAGGAGCAAGCTTTACAATGGCTACAGGTTTGTTCTCATAGAAAATATGTCAAGTGCTGAGTGAACATGATGAATACAGAATACCAGCAATAAAAGATAACACAATGAAAATTGGTATTGATTTTGCTCCGATATTTTTAAAACAGATTTTGTAAACATTGTTTTTGACAGAAAACTTTGGAAAGTTTAAGCTAAGTTTCTGTGATGTTTTTTTTTTTAAATTGGGGGTGGGGGTGGGGGAATAAATAAATTAAAATGAATTTGACTATCCTTTTCAGATCCTTTCCACACTGGACATCTACTTGCCAATCCACATGCTACTGAGTATGTTTATATCAGGAGTACAGAACATGACAGAGCTCCTAAAACAACAGAGTACAGCTGAACCGGAATCCCCCACCAAGGAAACTAAGCCCTCCCAACCCCGCTCCTTCCCCCAAAATTCTCCAGAAGAAGAATGTCCCCCTCCCCTCAGTCCAGCTAAGTCCCATGTGGTGGTGGAGGCATTTGAAATTTATGACAGGGAGACGGAACTTGTGCTGCCTTGTTACATTATGATGCTGGATTTGATTTTGAAACAGGTACGAAAAAATTAACACTCTTGAAAGTATTGATATGGCTTATATTTTTATTTTTATGAATTTGGAGGGGATATTAAGATATATTTATGCCTTTTAAGTGTGTGAGCTCTTGTGTTATCGAAGAGAAAATTTAAATTAGGATCAATGTGCTCTCTTGTAAGGGAGTATTCCACTTTCCATTGCCTTTGTTTGTTATTTTTGTTATTAAATTTATTTAATACATTCCAGCTGGAGCTTCAAAACTTCCCTAAGTACCTTGGACTGTACAATGAGACCAGCCGTCAGATTATGCAGTTACTGACCCTAATGCTTGGGACTCGCTGGGATGGCACCCACATCTGTAGTGATGAACAGCAGGCCAACAGTTGTATGTTCTGTCAGAACACAGCTCTGTGGCACCAGGTCACTTCTCAGGTGATGCAGAACTTCTGTCCTCTCAGCCAGGTGAAGATTCCAACCAAGGAAATTCCACGAGTGGACGAGTCCAAACGATTATCCACTACTCCAACATGCATGTCAAGGAAAAGTAAGTAGTGCATAAAATTTGAACTGACATTTTTGGGCCCTCATTTAAATTTTTTTTTTATTGCATTCAGACAAAGCATTCTTTGAACTGTACAATGCACATGGGAGAAGTAATTAATTCTTGCTGATAAATTTTCTTTGGTGAAACTTTAATGGAAACAGATATACAATATGGTATGAACAAGTTATGTGTGTGTAAATCATCTCATAAGAAAATTTTTTTTAAGGTTCAGTGACTTCCAATGATGATGTTGAGAGTACAGTGGGGGAGAAAGAAGAGGAATGTCCAGGATTTGATATGACTACTATGCCTCTACACTTGCAGCTCCACCATGCCTTCCTACAGGTAGATAACATTCCAGGATTTAACACTTCTGAAAGGTCAAATTGAGCTACTGTACATACCAACTACTATATACCACATTTTTCATGCATCAGTCTCCCTTAATTAAACCTTGTCCTTGACAAGTAATGATAAAGATTAAGGTTCCCTGTTTAAAAAACCTTTTCAAGTTGAACTTTTTTGTAACCCTAAATATCCTTGAGTTTTGTTTATATGCATCATCTGAAACCCAATACTAATCTTCCATCAATACCTGGCCATGGGTTTCTGACAATGATTTACTTGTGAATCTAGCAGATATACTTGCACACTTGTTACCAAAGGTTAAGAACAAGACTGCATTTTGCAGAGGATTACTACACCAAACATCAGTGTAAATACTTCAAGAATGATAAAACACGAAAAGTCATAAACTCTTATTAGTCTAGAGTAGAGTTGCAGTAGGCTCAACATAAGCACTCTGTGAAACATATAATATTCACATTTATGATAGCTAAATAAAGACTAATTCCCTCTTATTCAAACTGGAAGAGGAGAGTGAGCTATATTTAAATAATCATTTAGGCAGTAGTTTATAAAAACTGTATTGTATTTTATTTTTTCATCATTTGCATTATTACACTTGTTTGCAGGAACTTGAAAATACAACAGATACTGATGCTGGGTTTGCTTTGTTGACATCTATGAAATATTTGATTCTAAATGGAGAGTGCTTGAATTACACTGTGACACAGTTCCCAGATTATGTAAAATTCTCACTCAGCAAGTACTTAATTCCTAAGTAAGTCCTATCTGTACTCAAACTTATATGTTCATGTGCCAGTAGCTCTCAATTGAACAAATGTATTTAATTGTTATTTCATTTAAATTTTCCCTTGGTTTGAAGTTTTTATCCTCACAACAAAATAGAGGTATGGCTTGGTCAAGACTTTGAAGTCCAAAATCTTTTCTTTAAATTATGTTTTGATATTTTTTTTTTACATTTCCTCATTTTAGAAATATTTGAGATAATTACACTGTTATATAATCTTTGTTTAGTCTGTGGAAATCCCTGAAAGCCAAGCAATCCCAGCTGGCCTATGTTTCTGTCCCCCTTCTTTTACATTGTCTGACCCTCCCCACTGGGGCCGACGTCTTCTGGAAGCTGGTAGAAGAGGACTTCACCAATGATGAGTGGAAGATCAGATTTGCTGCTGGTACGTGTACTGTAATTGACATAGCATTTGATGTAGTAATGATTGTTTTAATCTCATTGAAATTTGAATGATCAGCAGGGTACTCAGTTTGTATACTTTTCACTGAGTTTTAATTCAATGAAATAAATATTTTGATTTTATAGAGAAAAAGGATAAGTATTTAAGTAACATTTTCATGGTAAGCACTAAACTAATGTACATGTAGATCTATGTAAGTGAATTGTGTTCTAGTTTGATGCTCTACTCCATTCTTATCTGTAGTGGAGAAAGTTACAGTGCTGGCCAGATTTTTAGAACCAGATGGTCTACAGAACAACCAGATTATCCAGACAGCCCTGGCTCATGCCTTCTGTTTACTGATTGGCTCAGTGGAGGACATCAATGCAGCGGTTGCCCAAAGGGCCACTCAGTATCTGGAGACAATCAAATTTGCAGCAATCAAGGTATTTTGGCTTTTAAATTTTATTAGATATATATAATCCACTGATATAAAAAAATCTTTATCAGAAAAAGTTTGAATTCAACTTATTAGGAAATTGAAATTTTCTGGCATATTCAATTTGATTGAATTCTACAAATTCATTCTCTATGTTTATTTTGAGAGTATAGTAAATGCTCTGCAATTGCTGTAATGATAACTTACGTCTCAGCAAAATTGTTTCGCTACTTCAAAGAAAATAAGATCCAGAAAAATTGAACACAAGTACCTGTATGTGTATCTGAGTGTGACTATTTGCAGTGTTTGTGTAAGTGTCTGGAGTTCCAGTTTGACCACGTGATCAGTGACCGGATCATGATTCTCCAGAGACTCCACCTCCTGTCTAACATCATGAAGGACCACGAAATCCTCAACTGGGAGTTCTTCCTGGCTCGGTTTGACGCCCTCTCCCTCGAGGCTCAAATAGATCTGGAAAATAGTGGTGAACTAGCTTGTCTTACAGGTTATCACGATTACAACAAATTCTCAGGAAATGGTCTTGTCTCAGAGTTTCTAGCATTGCCGTGGTGTTTTTCTTCTAAATGGTGTGCTCTCTTCTTGAATATTGTCTCCATTTAGAATGTAAAACAAGTAATATATCTTTGGTGTTTGGCTGTTTTTATTGGACATTCTGACTTTTCAAATCTACTAGAAATTAAAGAAGTCCCAAATATACATCGTGTAATAAGTAAATGTATTCATTAACAACTAGTACATAAATGCATGAATACAACCCAATATATACATGTATAAATGGTCAGTTCTTAATACTGTATAAGCAGAATATTTAGCGAGAATTTAATTTTGGCATTATTAGTGAGGGTGCTAAGATCGCTAAAATTGATATCGCTAAAAATTAATTGTGTTTTATTTGTGATAGCTTCTTAAGTGAGTATTTTTAAATCGTTAAAATTTAATCTCGCTAAAAATACTAGTTTTTAAGGTCAAATCGCTAAATTTGCTTCTCGCCAAAATTTCCACTTGTACGGTACATGTACATCTAAATACATACAGTATATATACATTTGGTATAAAACATGTATCTGCATAATTCAGTAGACAAACTTAGAATTACTTGTCTGTAATACTTATTCTATTTATCAGACTCATGCCTGCTTTAATAAAATAATTGATAAATATCTATTAGCACTTCACATTGCTGAATGTTAACCCTGAGTCTATTAATCTGTTTATACTATTTACTTTTTTTTATTTTCTTTATAAATGAAACAGTTTAATTTGACAAATGCATGTTGATAACAATTTTTAAAAATTTTATCTATATTGATTTATATTTCATTCTAAAATCTGTATTCTCCAGTTCTTGAAAATATAAATATACATGTAGCATGCATACAAGGATATTTTTAATGTATTTAGTAAGAATCTGCACACACACTTATTTCATTAGACACTGAAATTTTCTAACAACATAGCATGTAAGATTTGAAGTTGTCAGAATGTCCAGAACACTGCATATATCTATCCATTTCTTGTGATTTGTTGTGGTTCAAATGAAATCTCAACACTGCTACCATATTGGGTTTCTTTATGTTTAATAAATATAGAATTAAAAAAAAATCATTCACACTCATGAATAGTACATGACATCTTTATGGAAAGCACTGTTTGCTTATTAATAATCAATTTTGGAAATAAACACATTAAATTGTACAAACCATCATTTTTTTTTTCCATTTAAATGTGCAACCACATTACATGTAACTGCATGCAGCATTAACAAACTTGAAATGTCCATAATTCCATATTAATTCTAATTCTTAAACCACTTTTTCTGAAGATGTTCTGTCAAGGGGAGGTGCCAGCTTAAAGTGTCGAAAATTTCAGTTAAGCAGTGTTGATGTTTCAAATATGTTTTGTTTAAAAATTTTCAAATGAAAATTGTGTTACTATGTAACTGTTTTGATATGTTATTTCATATTTTAAAAATGTATTGCAGTAGATGATGTACATGTATCTGGTAGTAAAAAGTAGATGAGGTTCCACTGTATTTTAAAAAAATATTGCAGTAGATGATATATCTGGTAGTAAAAAGTAGATTTGTTGAAGCATACATAGTGTGTGCAAAGTGGCAGATTTTCTCTGAGAAATAGCAAACAATCCTTTCCAGAAATTATAAAATTGGGAATAATAAATATTTTAAAGAGCCATTCTCTGTAAGATTTGTATTTATAAGGGCTGTGGCACATGAATATATAAGCACAAATTTCCTCATAACTTGGTAAAATGGAGGTTATTCAGTACAATTAATAATTAGTAATAAAAAATATTATTTTTTTAATAATTTTTAGAAAATCAAGGAAATCATCCATGAGTGGTTATTATGGTAATGGCTCTCAAAGTTTTAAAAAACAATTTTGAAATCTTGCTGCATACTCTTGCAGCAAAGTGGAGCAATAATCATTGCTGAAACAACTAAAAAGCCCACTGGAAATTTAGTCAATCTGTGGTGTTACCTGGAAACAAAAATGAAAATTTTAATAGATTGTTACAGCTGGATTTTCAAAGTTTTTTTTTAACGTCTTTTGAACATTCACAGATGACAGTAAATGCAAAAGGTAGAAAATATATACTTAAAGACCTTTTGAAGGCTACATACATGTACTTTTAACAATAACATTGTGCATGGGGGAATTCAAGGATGCAAACAAATGCAGATTTTTTCTGTTTTCTGCTCTTTTTGCTTAGTTACTATGGACACCAATTTGTATTCCTAATGGACATGGAAACAGAAATCCATAACAACATTTTAAGTTTGCAGTATTTATCTACATAAAGTTTCAAGAAAACCCTGATCATAAGTGCCAAAAAGTTTTAAACGCTTTATACAGAGAATGGCTCATAAAGGCTTCTTGCTTTTAGCATTGTTTAGCATTATTTATACCGGTAGATGAATTCATACTCTTTCATTAGTTCGTTTGTACATTGAACTTTCTGTTTTATTCTTCTTATGAAAACCACTTACTTTATTTTGAAAATACAAATATGTTTATAGATGAAATGCAGGTTTAAAATTCAAAGAGTATACATGTTTAAAATGATTATTTAAAGAATTTAAATTCATGCTATGATGAAAGTTTGGCTTTAAACTTTGCATGATACACGACAAGAATGGTGTGGGTTTGGGCTTCATCATGAATTTGTCCAAGAAATGAATATCATGGTAGACAAATTTGCTTAATTGCAAGATTTTCTTTGCAAAAGTAAGAAGATTTTTGCCTTTGAAAATTTCCTGTGATGTTGTTTATTATTGAATTCTTTGTTTCAGCTGTACCTATGACTTAATTTTGTAATAAAATTAAGATATTTTTGATGAGCACAATTCATAGGTTTTAAATATCTAATGATATATTTTGTACTGCAGGCATTGAAAAAAATCACCTCTAGATATAAAAATTATAAGTACAGAGGACACTTGAATGCCCCATGTAATCAAGAATTCAGGGCATAAACTTTTTTATTTTTAAAAATCAATAATTTCAAGAAATTTCAGTATTTTTTTTCTGTATTTTCATTTAGATCTGACAAGCAGTGATCGAGATAGTGAGCATTTTTTAAGGAAATTGAACCGAGCTCGATTTGCCTTGGCCAGGACGGACAGTATTCGCTCTGTGAGTAAAAGTGTAAAGCCGCCCTACAGACGAGCTGTGTCTGTTCCTATGCACCTGCTGACAAAGACCACACCTCCCAAAGGTAGACTGTCTCTTACTCTAAGTCAATATCTGTAGAAACAAAATTTCCCCTGCTTTTATTAAGGGGTAAAGGGATGAGGGAGGGGGTATTTGTCTGTCAATCCATATGTTCTGTATATGTTCTGTACGTGTCTGATTTTGAGGTCAAAAATCATGGTCAGAAATGGTTTGTAGTTTATATTTTTAGATCTCTTCATGCTTTGGCATTGAAATTGAATATCAATAAGACTGTAACCCTCTTAGACTTTATGAAGACCCTTCTTTATTTCAAGAACAAAATGTCAAGGTTAGAAATTCTTAAAAATGCAAGCTTTTTTAAGATGATCAAAATGCATCAGTGAATCAATATTTTTAAGGATTATCTAACTTAAGGTGACAAATTATGATCAATATTTTATAAATTATAAGGCTGTCAATAAATATATAATTGGGCAATGTTTGAACACTAAACCACCACCAACTTTTGTTTAAATACTAGCATTTAATTTTTTTCGTTTTTTTATTAATTTGTTTTCAAATGTATTTGAATGCAATTATCCTGATCATTATTGAAAAACAGTCATGTAATCATGCTTTTAGTTTTCTGTTTATTTTTATTAAATAATGTACAGTAAAACATGGTTATAGCGAATATGCTAATAATGAGTTAATTACACTTACAGTAAAGTGATTTTCATTCCCTGTACTTTTTTAAAATAAATTTTATCAGCTTAATAGATATAATGAAATTCATAACAAATCAATATTAACTGTCATTGGCACTCTGCAATAAGTGTGTTTTACTGTATTTTTAATTCCAATACATGACGCTTCAAACACAGAATGTGACCTTATTTACAGAGATTCTCAATAAGTGGAAGATGCTTATGCGTAAAGTCCTTCGTAAGTCAATAACAATCAGTTGCCATTAATGCTTCTATTTTGAACTTTTGTAGCTTCTTGGAAATGTTTGACACATGCATGTGTGGATTTTCAGTGTGACCAAAACTTCAAATCAACTTTTGAATGAAAATTGTTTGATTGACTTAGTTTAATTGAAACTTTCTACTTTATGTAATTATAAATATTTTATTGTAATAAGGAAGCCCAAGCTGAGTGTGCAAGCAAATGTAATGCAAAAGAATTTTCTGAAAAAACTTTAACTAGATCAGAGTAAAAAATACTCAGAATTGTTGTTGATATCACTTTTTAGTGATATGTATTCTATTGATATAGTTGAAGTGTCAGTTCATTTTTAGCTCACCTGAGCTGAAAGCTCAAGTGAACTTTTCTGATCACCCATTGTCCGTTGTCCGTCCGTCTGTAGCTGTCTAGCTGTCCGTCCGTCCGTCTGTTAACTTTTCACATTTTCAACTTCTTCTCAAGAACTACTGGGCCAATTTTAACCAAACTTGGTACAAAGCATCCTTGGGTGAAGGGGAATTTAAGTTGTTAAAATAAAGGGCCAGGTCCATTTCAAAGGGGAGATAATCAAGAAAATACAAAAATAGGGTGGGATCATTAAAAAATCTTCCTCTCAAGAACCACTGGGCCAGAAAACCTGAAACTTATGTGGAAGCATCCTGAGGTAGTGTAGATTCTAAATTGTAAAAATCATGACCCCCATGGGTAGGGCGGGGCCACAATAAGGAATCCAAGTTTTACATAGAAATATATAGGAAAATCTTTAAAAATCTTCTTCTTAAGAACCAGTGGGCCAGGAAAGCTGAAACTTATGTGGAAGCATCCTGGGGTAGTGTAGATTCTAAATTGTTAAAATCATGACCCCCGGGGGTAGGGCAGGGCCACAATAGGGAATCCAATTTTAACAGAGGAATATGTAGGAAAAATCATTAAAAATCCTCTTCTCAAGAACCAGTGTGTCAGGAAAGCTGAAACTTATGTGGAAGCATCCTGGGGTAGTGTAGATTGTAAATTTTAAAACTCTTGACCCCCGGGGGTAAGGAGGGGCCACAATAGGGAATCCAAGTTTTACATAGAAATATATAGAAAAAAAATCTTTAAAAATCTTCTTCTCAAGAACCAGTGGGCCAGGAAAGCTGAAACTTATGTGGAAGTATCATTGGGTAGTGTAGATTCTAGATTGTTAAAATCATGACCGGGGGGGTAGGGAGGGGCCACATTAGGGAGTCATAGTTTTATATAGAAATATATTGGAAAAATATTCTTCTCAAGCACCAGTGGGCCAGGAAAGCTGAAACTTACGTGGGAGCATCCTGGGGTACTGTAGATTCTAAATTATTAAAATAAAGATGGGGATTGGGAGGGGGTAAGGGGCCACAATAGATGTAAGTAGAGGGGAAATCTGGTAAAGAACTGCATCACCAAAGTTACTCAGGTGAACGATGTGGCCCATGGGCCTCTTGTTATGGAACTCCTACGCTTTTATCTAGCAAAAGATATACTACCTAATTATTTTTGCCCTCTGAAACCTTAATTATTATCCATTCACAGGCCTCATTTGTATTTAGATATATGTGTCAGTAAATCAATGATATTCAACCAATTTTCTTATAAATTTGATTGATTTATACTGAGGTTTGCCATTTTTAGCAGATTTAGATTATCTCTTTAATAGGCAATACTTATAGCACATAGCAGTTTCTGAGAAATCAAAATTATAGAAGTCTCTACTTGATAGAAATCCAGTTTAATACACAGGTTAATAGCTGTGATAGATTGATGTCCTAGTCATATATTGATCTTCAGGTCACTGCAACATTGAATGCCAACATCAAATGTTATCCATCCAATATCCTAGTATCCCCTGCTTGATGGTCATCACACTTTGTTGGCCAAGGTGAACCATTGATTTTCTAGACAAGGTTGTCATATTCCCTGCTACAATGCACTGTTGTCCCATTTTCATTGGATAATGTTAGTTACCAAAGAAGTATATGCAATATATAGCATATTTTTGCCCCCACAAAAGTCATACTTTGAAAATTTCTTGAAATGTGCTGAATTGTATAAATTGTATGAGAAATATAAATTAACAAAACATATTACAGTTTTAAAGTAGGTTATTGATGATTTTTAGCTCTACTGGTCAGAGACCAGAAGAGCTTATGCAATAGTAAGGTGTCCGTCGTCCGTCCTTCTGTCTGTCTGTCTGTCCGTCTGTCTGTAAACAATTTTTCAAAACGCTACTCCTCCTACAGTTTTGGTCTGATTTTAATATTACTTGGCACACAAGTAGACTACACAAAGATACATAAAATAGTGCATCGGATTTTGATTTCGATGAACGGTGTTGCCATGGTTACTAAAAAAAGAATTTCCTGTGAAATTCCTTTAAAATGCTACTCCTCCTACAGTTTCAATCTGATTTCAATATAACTTGGCACACAAGTAGACTACACTAAGATACAAAAAATAGTGCATCGGTTTTTGATTTTGATGAACGGTGTTGCCATGGTTACTAAAAATAGAATTTTCTGTGAAATTTCTTTAAAATGCTACTCCTCCTACAATATTGATCTGATTTCAATATAACTTGGCACACAAGTAGACTACACAAAGATACATAAAATAGTGCACAGGATTTTGATTTCGATGAACGGTGTTCCCATGGTTACTGAAAATAGAATTTTCTGTGAAATTCCTTTAAAATGCTACTCCTCCTACAGTTTTGATCTGATTTCAATAAAACTTGGCACACAAGTAGACTACACTTAGATACATAAAATAGTGCATCGGATTTTGATTTTGATGAATGGTGTTGCCATGATTACTAAAAATAGGATTTTCTGTGAAATTCCTTTAAAATGCTACTCCTCCTACAGTTTCAATCAGATTTCAATAAAACTTGGCACACAAGTAGTCTACACTAACACGCCTGCTAATCGATCACTTGCAACACCAGCAGTTGTGTATAACAATCAAAAGAGATCGATTTCCGGTTGTGCAGTTGATGCGAATAATTCCAGTGCACAGGTAGTAAATGGACTCGATTCAGGCAATAATTGATATTTTTATTAAAATATAAGAATGTGATTCCATGAGCAATTTATTTTTCTTTAATTTTACACTCTCATAAAATGCAGTGATTGTCGAATAGCGACTATATTTGTTTTGAAGCAAGGGCTGGTAGAGTGAAAACGCTGATTGAAATCAGTATTCGCCGACTAAAATTCGTTTTAATCTCAACCAACCTTGAAAATTCAGTGTCCACCATGAGTATGCAACAAGTGCATCCTATCCACCAAAACTGGGACTTCTATATATGTTTAATTTGACAAATATTCAAAGAAAAAAACATTGCTTGTGCATGCGATCATTCAGTTGTGAAAGAGATCTCGGGTTATGCATGAGATAAAGGATAAAAAGTTACCCAAGTATTATACAATCTCCATAATTCACCTCTTATACTATTTATTTTTGGTAATTATAAAGTGTTAAATATTGTCTATAATATGAAGACATCGCAGGGGCAGATCCAGCAATTTTTGAAAAAGGGGGGGGGGGGTGGGTGGGGGTTGTCCATGTGTCCAACACTCATGCATATAGGCACTTCAAACCTGGCAACACTAAGTTTTCAACAGTTCTATGGGGGACTTTGACAAGCCAATCACAAACAAACAAAACAAAAACACAAACAAGCAGGGTTCGGATTGCATGTGACGGTACTCGGAGGAAAGCATATTAAACGAGGGAACTTTATTTATAGCGATCAGAAAGGACAGACATTGAACAACATGTACAGTGTATTTATTTTATTCGAAAAATTTTTTTTATTCAAAGTATTTATTTAACTCAAAATATTAGACATAATAAAATATCCGTGTTACATAACTCTCTCTCTAATCAAATAGAGGGGGGGGGTCCAACCCCAGGAACCACCTTCTAGATCCGCCAATGATGTACAGTCATTTTTGCAAGCACATTTTGACTTTTTCAGCAGCAGAGGCCGATCTCTTATATCGGGAAATGAGGCGTTATTTTTCATAAGTTCTGTAAACTAATCTTAATTTTAAAAACTTTCTTTAAACTGAGCATTTATTGTTGTTGTTACAATTTCATTGCCATTTCTAATTGGGTAATTATCAGGCACGTAGTATCCGGGGGGGGGGGGGGGCCTGGCCCCCCCCCCCCCACTTTTTCTCCCAACATTATCTTTACTATAGAAAATGTCTATTGAAAAGGTGGTTGCCCCCCCCCCCACTTGTAACCACAGTATATACATAGCAAGGAAATATAGGAAAAAATTGGCAGTGAAAGGAAGTTTGCCTTGAAAAAAGTTGGCCACTACCCCCACCCCCCCACCCCCAACGAAATCGGATTTTCGAGTTTGGGAAATTTTTTTTTTTTTTTGCTTGTCAACTTTTTTTAGTTAAGTAAAAAAATTTTCTTTCAAAAACGATGCTACATGCCTGATTATATAGAAAGAGTTTACAATAGGTACTCCCCAACCAGGGAGTTATCAAGATAAGAAAGGAAATCGTCATGATTTTCCAGATAATAATGAAGTGGTTAAAGTTGCAAGGTGAATAAAAATTGAAAAAGTTTTTCAACAACACTGTAGTAAAAATTGTTTTGAATGTGCTACAGATGTGACAACAAAGATTTTTCTTACATTTTTTCCATCAAACTACGCGCCTTGATTAGCCTACTGCAGAAACCATGGGTATTATCACGTGATAAAGATCCAGGGTTTCGGCATGTGGTTCATCTTGAGAGACCTACATCTTCATTCATACATTCTCATAATTTTATTGACTTTTTTATTGATTCATTGATGACTCCATTTGATGAACAAATGCACTAAAATTTCTATTTAATTAAAAAAAAACCATTTTATTTATTTTTGCTTTGAAAACAGTCTGAAATGAAATTGATCTATTTCAGCTTTGAATATTTTGTGCTTCCCATGCATTGATGCT